CCCCAAAACCCCAAAACCCCAAAACCCCAATCCCCAAAACCCCAAAACCCCAAAACCCCAAGAATCCTAGGTGTCATTGAAAACTTCCTTCTAGTAAATTACAACTGGCTAGATCTCCTTAACATGTTCTTAATGTTCAGTGGGTTCTTGACAATCTTCATATCAGAGTTAGCGGGAGACCTCTCCATAGTATCGAACATCTCATTAGGAGCAATTGAAAGGTTAATCTTATTGTCGTATATATCTCATTGAGATGAGGAGTTCCTCATCCGGCTAGCCTGAGGAGACATTCCTAAAGATATAGAATTTTCTCTTAATTGAAGTCTTAAATTCTCAAGACTCTTTCGTTCTTTCAAGATTTCAGCATCCATGGCAACCACAGAGTCCATCAAAGAGTTATTCTTGTAGCGGTTTGATCGATGATAATAATTAGGCGACACTATTTTGGGCAACGAAGTATATTGAGAAGCATTCATAGAGGATAATGTGACAGGCAGTTTAGAACCCCTACTATCCAACCTTGGAGATTTATGAAAAGCTATCTGAGGCAGTTGTACAGCATTTCTCTTTGGAGAACTACATTTTATTGGACTGATATATCATGAAGAATCTCAAGGTGAGCCTTTGGGACTCATTTTTGAACTACTACCTAAATTCTTACTCTTCATTGTCGAAGAAGCTTTAGTGCCATCTTTCATTGTACTGCCTAGTGTTATGTAGGTGTCATAATCTTCCTTGTAAAGATAAAGTATATGCCTCTTAGTAGGGTCATCCTTTTGAGCAGCAGTTGTTTTGTTAAACTTGAATCCAGCTTCTTTTCATCATTGGATCATTTGCTGATTAATTGAGAAAGTGGAATAATAAATTTTCTCAAAATAAAGCTTATTAAAGCAGTATTCGCCAATAGAGAGGAGGGATTTCTGTTCATATCCCTTCTTTCTCCACATCTTCTCAATGTAAAACTTGCGGAGGTTGATCTTATTCGCTCCTTTCGCAGCAGTTAGATGAGCTGTTCCAATAGGAATCAGGGAGTTGTACACAGTTTTGATACATATTCGAAAAGGCTTGTAAATATGATTAGAAGTTGAGTATTTATAGAGCATACTGCGGATTTTACTCTTATTGATGCTCTGTCCCTTACTTCCATACAAGAACTCCTTTACAGAGTCAGGGTCGTCATCACTATTGTATTTATAGAAAGACATACTTTAGTAACCCATCTATGAGTTCTTCAAAATATTCATCTGTGAAAGGTATGAGAACAACAGATTCGACTCCTTTGGCTTTCTTCTTACGTATCTTTGTGAGAAAGTCAGCTGGTAACTTATTACTACTCTGAAACTCATCTTCTAGCATTGATATTTATTTAATTAGAATTATATAAAGGGGTTTTGGGGTTTTGGGGTTTTGGGGTTTTGGGGTTTTGGGG